CCGGCCTGCGCGAGCCGGGCCCGGCTCCAGCGCCGCATCCGCGGAGCCGTAGTGTCTCCGACGCCGCACGTAGAACCCGAGCGCTGTAAGTGCTAGGAATGCCGCCCGCCCCTGGGGCACATGCAGTCTTTCTATCTATAGCTCTCTCTGTACATCCTGGGTCTGGGGCAGCTATTCCAGGGGCAGCAACTGCTTCCCGCTGTTCTCTTCTCCCCATTGGTGGCTTCCGACCCGAATTTGGGAATGGGGCGATCTCCCACCTGTTACCGTGGAGCAGACTAATCTGTAAGCAGAAGTGCCATTTGGAGCGTCCACAGCCATTTGGCTCGGCTGGAAAAAATTTCCCAGCCTTTCCTAAATGTAGTTTTTCTCTGAGATTGCTTTAGCTTGTTTTAGCTGCAAGAATTTATAGTAGAGTATTTTTGCTTCAGTCATATTGCTCTTGAAGGGAGGAAACAACTGTTAATTTATAAGAATCCGTGTTTCTCATTGCTCTTCCAGAGTTAAAAACACATTTAGAACATGTAAGTGCCGCTGTCAGCTCTGGAGAGTTTAAGGTAACGGTTTTCTTTTCCCTAATTCCTTTTTGTTCTCATAGGGGTAACTCAATCGACCTTGGAGTTCTTTTAATTCTTCTGAAAGATTTGAAATCCTCCAGAACCCAAAATGGAACACAGTAAACAGATTCGAATTTTACTACTGAACGAAATGGAAAAGCTGGAAAAGACCCTTTTCAGACTTGAACAAGGTCAGTAGCAAATGTTTTGAGTAGCTCATTTGTGTCTTTTTAAAGTTTTGATTCGTTGATGGTCATATTAAATCCTTAAAACTTTTTAAGTTAAGGTCTGGGGAATGTGGCTGAATAGTGGAGTGAGTTCCTGGGTCCAATCTCCAGCACCCCCCAAAAAGAAAAAAACTTCAAATTAGACATAGTTCCTAGGATCTTTCTAAAACTTGATTTATGCAAAAATGGTGCTATGTTCTACAAATATCAATGCTAAATGATTGATTTTAGAAACATTTTGTATCTCTCATGTTAGGACATTTTCTTTTCATGCTAACGTCCACGTAAGATAGAAGCTACATATGTAATCGAAAGATTGACCATATTATTTCTAATAGCATTTATTATTAAAACAATTTAAAACTTCGTATGCAATTTTGCTTCAAATGTATCTATAGTTTGGTTTTTTATAACTTACTCTTTCTTTATTCAACCTTTGAGTTAACAGAGAACAACAAAAAGTATATTGTTTTGTTTACCAAAGCCTTTCAAATGAGAGAAGAAAAAGTTGAAAACACTTTCTTGCCAAATAGAAAGTGGAATGACTTTTTTTTAAATTGGGTTATGTTGCAATACATTTGAGCTGTGATTAAACAGATCCAATTATATTTCTGTAAGGTAAATTAATAGTTTTTTTCGACTTTGTAATTTTTCAACTTTAAAAACATTTCACACTTATTTTGTGTGAATATAATTTGTGAAGTAGAGAAGCTTAATATATGAAAAATAAAATCCATTCTCCCTTATGTGTGTACCAAATAGGCGTTGATAAATGTTTTGAAGGAATTTTATTTCTCTGATATTTTAAGCATTAAATTTTTGAAAAAAAATTCAGCCTTCTGAGGTGTTACTTCCGTGCCATATCCTCCTCTTCTTCCATCTTTGTTTGGCATTTAAGGTCATTGAGTAATTGCTCGATTTTTGGTTTTCCCGACTCTGCACTTTTCCATTTTTAATCCCCCCCCCAAGTAGTCTGTCAGCCTGGGACCTGTTGCTGGGCTACCCTCTTTCCACACTTTAATGGATTAATGGTATATGCAGTACTAGGAATCCTTCCTTCTTCTGTTCTCCTATCCTCAAGGAATTATATATTCTCATGGCCTCAACTCTTACCTCTTCTCTGAGTAAGACTCCTTTAGAAAGAAAGGCCATGAGCGAGCTTTGTTTTGTTCTTTACAGCTTTTGAGTATAGTATGACAAGAGTCAAGGACTGACTCTGCTGTGAACTGTGTGACTTTGAACAAGTTTTTTCTGCTCTCCTATGAACTTTCTGAAGTTCTAAGGCTCAAAGTTAATAATGATATGGCTTTGGGTGATAACATCCTAAACAGATACAGTATAAGCATTCGTAGATCGCTGCCTGTCCTCACCCTGGCTCTTGGCTCTGCCCAATACTATGCTACAGAATAGTGTTAGGTCTTCTTGATTGCGCTTCAGTCTAACATGTCTAATCCTCCCCACCCCCAGTTCCTTAACTTTCTTTGAAACCAGCTTCTCTGTTTATTTTAGTGACATTTCTATTTTCATATTTTCCTACGTGAGAACCTTGTATTCTTCTTTGATAATTTCTTTATAATCTCTCTTTAATCCCTATAACTTCTTTCCATGTATTTCTGCCTGCCTGACCCTCTGTTTGTTCCATATGAGCAAATAAAGTATATTTCTAGAGAAAGAAGTTTCTTCTCTTTCTGTTGGTATCCATAAGTCATATTTAAACACCTGTGTCTGGCTTCTTAAACATTCTTGTTTTGTTTTGTTTTTTGAGATAGGGTCTCCCTATGTAGTTCAGGCTGGCCTTTGAACTCATAACAATCTTCCTGTCTCAGCCTCCTGAGTGCTGAGATTACAGGTACGCAGCATGACACCCAGCATTATTCTTATTGGAACCTTTCCCAGCCAAGATTGTATCTCATTGTTTCCCATCATTAGAGTGAAATATCTTTATAGTTGCCCTCTTCCTTCCTGTTACTTCTTTCCCAGGACTATCCTTACACCTCAACTCTTACTAGATTCTTCTGTATCTGTTAAATTCCTTTTATTCTTGTTCTGTATGTTCAGATTTCAGCTAAAATGCCAGGCTTCTTGATGAAATCTTTAATTTTTTATTCTCTTTGCTTTGATTTCCAGTTACACAGTAAACGCAGAACAATTAAGCATTGAACAGTGAAGCAGTATATAAAAGCTTGTTAGTCTTACAGTGGCCAGCTAGAGTTTGAGATTTGTGAGGAGGGGGACAATTTTACAAACCTTATGCAGTGTTATTAAATACCTGTTGTTTGATACCCAAAACTCCAGTTAAAACGGTCAAAAATGGTAAATTCAGTTGCACTGTTTGAAGAGGGAACTGTGAAGGGTTTATGGAATAAGAATAATGTGGTTAGATTTGTAACTCTAGTTAAAACCAGTAAACTCATCCAAATGCTATAAATGGGGAGGCCACTTTTTTGAAGTAATTTGTAATGTGAAAGGTGAAGCAAGGGAACATTGGGACAAAAAAATCATTGAGAAGGCTCTTTTTTTTTTTTTAAAGAATCTTTTTAAAGATAAAGATTTAACATATCAGAAAAGTGAGGACAGGGTATGACACATTTTAAAATTAATAGGACTCAGAGGCACATGTGAGGTAATACTCATTTTTCAATTTAATTAGTCACCAAACCCTTCTCCATTTTTCTTTTCTTTTGTCCCTAAGAAAGAATTTCTCTTCATTTTTAAGATTGAAATTTCTAAAGATATTTAATCAGCAAGTTAAGAACAATAGTAATCTTACATAGCCAAATCATAGACTTTTCCTAGACTTCTTATCTGAATTAGTGTTAGCATTATGAACAAAATCAGTATTCCTCAAACCTGAAATTTTTGCATTTTTTAAATATAGGTTGGTCAAATTTTCAATTTTTTACTCTTTAAGAAAATGTATACTGCATCAAGCTTCTTTGATTAGAATCTTGAGTTTCTATAAATTGGGTGGAAATAAGAATTTCAATTTACAGTAATACTTTAATTACTCATCTTGCTAATTGTCTTACAATAGGGATAGGCTAATCCAAGTAAAGTATTCCTGAGGTTAGCATGAGGAATAAGATAGCCACACTGTGTACTGTACGATCTAAGCTAATTTTAGCAGGCTGAGTGATTAATTATAGAATCTGAGTAGTCTAGCTATTCTAATGTTCCATTTACTGTATATAAAAATTTTAGTTTCAGTGATTTGGATTAGAGATCTAGAGTGGCTCTGGTTCCCTATGGGTATGAACTGATCTATGTATCAGGATATGAAAGAAAAAATAGGATTTTTCTTTCCTTCTTTATATCCTTCCTATTTTAGTTTTTTAAAAGTAATTTAAGTTTTGTTAATATATGAATCGACATTGACACTCAGTTTCTAGGTCAGATGAGTTAAAAACAGAGATATATTATGTGGAAAGAGAGTCGTGGAAAGGTTGCAGGTCTAGAGTGGCTCACAGGTTAAATCCTCACTTGTTTGTTTGCAGTGTATTGCCATGAATTGCACTTTTCCCTAAGCCAAATTAGGTAGACGACCAAGTTGTAGTATCTTAGATAATAGGAAGTAGGGAGGCCAGGTGTGGTGGCGCACACCAGTAATCCCAGCACTTGGGAGGCTGAGGCAGGAGGATCACTGTGAGTTCAAGACCAGCCTGGGCTACATAGTGGGTTCCAGGTCAGTCTCAACTACGTAGTGAGACCCTGTCTCAAAAAACAAACAAAAAAACAAAAAATAAATAAATAAAATAAATAATAGGAAGTAGGGATGTAGCACAGTGATAGAGTGCTTGCATAGCATGTGTAAGGCCACAGGTTCAATCCTCAGCACCACAAGAGAGAGAGGAGAGAAAGAGGGGGGATCTCCCCTAAAAATTTGGAACAAGATGAAGAATAATGGGATCTCTTCTACTTCACAAAGATGGCCAGCCTTAAAGATGAGTTAAAAATTGTTTGAGATTTCTCTTTGAAATTTGTCCTTTTTAGGAATGACAAGTATGATATTTAGACAATATCATCCACCCCAAAAAAGCACTTTAAGTCTTTGAGGTAAACATGAATGAGAAAGTTAATTGCTTTTTTGAAGAAAATTGATGCTATGGAACAGAATTTGGCACATTCTATCCAGTAAAGATTCAGGTAGCAGATCTTTCCAGCTTTGCAAGCCATCCAGTCTTACTGCCACTAACCAACTCTGCTATTGTAGAGCAACTGTGGGTCCTAAATATGTAAATTGATGGGCACTAGCTGTGTTCAATAAAACTTTACTTACACAAACAGGTATAATATTGGCTGGTTATAGTTTCCCTTGCTTAGCAAAAGCATTTGGAATGTGTGCTTCTAGAAATGCTTGCATCATTACATTTTACCCTTGTAAATGAATACCTGCCCATTTTAAAAATTAGAACAGTCTTCTAATTTGTTGAGTAAAGGATTTAGCTGTTTATTATATGAATATAGAGCATAATATGATTAGCTTATAAAAACAATCCTGGATGTAAGAAAATATAAATTTATCAGATGCATGTTAGCAGAGGTCTATGTAATTGGCAAATGGGAATGAAGATTTACATCATGAATAGTAGACATAGCCACCAGGATCTTCTTTCATTTGCACATAGATATCTTCGTGTGGACATAGGTATTTTTTGCATCTTTGATGTCATTTAAAGCCACTTATCAAAATGAATAGAGCCTGGAGTCTTTGGACCACTGTATCTAAACTATTAAACCAAACTTTAAAAAAAAATGAAGATTATTTAATCACATTGTTTTCACTGGCAGATAATTTCACTGGCTGATAATATTTAGTGAGTTAAAAGACTTCTTTTGGCTGGGCGTGGTGGTATATACCTTTAATCCCAGCACCTAGGAAGCTGAGGCACAAGGATCACTGAGTTTGAGGTCAGCTTAGGCTATATAATGAGTTCAAGGCCAATCTTGAACACACTGAGAACTTG